GCCCCCGCCCTCGGGGCACATGGCGTCACAGTCGGCCGCCCCCAGCTGCGCTTCCGGGCGACGCCCCCGCGACGCAACGGCCGCCCACCGACGAGAGCGAGCCCCGGCCTATGCATGTGCCCCCGCCTTTAATTCCACCATCGCTCCAACATTATTCGCACCATCATACACTCTTTGGATCACAACGCGTGGGACTGTTCACGTTGCTTTTTGCTGACAACCTATTGTTAATGGAAGAGGATGAAGATGATATTCATTACATATTGACGGAGGTGTTTGAAGAATAGGCTACCAGAAGTGGGGGCTCACAATAAATATCTTCAAAGCTGAATATACTGTAGCGCACAATGTAAATTGCTGTTACAGGGTGGAATTATGAAAGGAGTTGATAGCTTTAAGTACCTTGTAGTAACATTTACCAAAAATGGTAAAAAATGAATCTGAAATTATTGGAAGAATAAGAAAAGGGAAACAAGTTACAAAACAGCTAAACAATTCGTCTTGGAGCTCCTGCACGAAGATAAAGACACAAAATAGTATAATAATATACGTCTATAATATAGAGCATTGTTACTCAAGGAATAGAAAAGTGAGTAACAACAAAGTAACTAAAGAAAAAATTAAGAGCAACCGAAATGGGTTCTTGGCGAGTTTGTCAGCTCACATTTCAGAACAGAAAAAGAAACGATGTTAGCAAGACTGAAGATAGGGAATACAATTTTAGACACTGCAAAGGCAAGATGCCTACGATGGTAAGGGCATAAGCGGCGAATGGTTGAAGGAAAATGGCCAAAATATGATCGAATGAACCCATGCGGAAAGGAGACGGAGAGGGAAATCGAGGAGACACGGGAAGGATGCAGTACCTGAAGACACGGATGGAAGAAATGTGCAAGAAAACGACTCTGAAGAGCATAGTAAATGGAAGCTAAGATGCGATAAACGTCTTTAAGTTGTAATATATTCGCAAAAATAAATAAAACAATAAATAAGTTATTTATCGTCCGCCTTCCACTCTACAATACATGAAACAGCATTGTTCAGCTAACCTTCTGATTAAACCTCGACGCGCATTGTCAATTTCTAAATTGAATACTTAATAATGAAACTCCCTTCCCGGCATGAATGGCTTAATAATATAATTTTATAATTTTACCTAAGGCTTTATGTAACTTTATATCCACTCACGTCATTGATATATCTTTTAGTGATCAGTCGCATTATGTTATTAATAGTCATGCGCCATAAGTAAATAACTAACTTGGATTCAGTGTTATTTTTACATTTTTATGCAGATTAATATTCAAGAGACTTATTCAATATTTGGACATGCATTTGAAAAAGCTTATCAAAAAAATGATTGTATTATTGAGCAAAATATAAACCCAGTTTTTTTCTATTTTCCCCCTTTTTTCATTTATTTACACAGATGGTAAATACATAGTTCAGTTTAAATTAACTATACATATGTTGGATGGCTTAATAGCTTACTTAAATTAAAAGTTAAAACTAATACAGGGTTGAGGTTACCCATCGGGCTTTTGTAATCGGTATGTAGTTCGGAGAATTTCTTGAAGAAAATGTGAAAGGGAAATTTATTTTGTATTCTGGTTCTATGTGAATGGTTTTGCCGAGTCTATGAACTCATAGTGAAGGAATTTGGGTTATGTTTGAGAAGAAGTTGGTAGCTAGGTAGGTGGTGTAAAAGATGTTGCTTTCGCACAAACGATGACTCCAGAAGAATAAGATGCCTGGACTATTTTTCAGTGTGTGTGTGAACATTTCCTAGTGAAAAACAAATCTTCAGATTTTGTTGAGTGAAACAAGAGACGACTTTTGTGTACATTTCAAAAACTGGGCTGTAGAATGTCTCTTAAATAACACTGTCTGCGCTTCCATTTACATTTCTTCCCTGATAACCTCGGTGATGTGAGAGATGAACAAGGTGAGCGTTTCCACCGTAATATCAGAACAAAGGAGCAAAGCTACCAAGATTTTTAGAATGACTCTATTATGGCAGATTGCCATTGGATGTTGTACAGAGATGATCCTGAAGCAATTCATAAGAGATGTGGAAGTTCATCTCATTTCTGAGTCAGCTTTTCTTACACTACTTATAAGGAAATGGACTGTGACCGATTTTTAGTGTAATAAACGGATTCGCTGTTGTAGAAAAATTGTGGGTGATGACGCAAATCCGAACACAAAACCGCAATTCTTGTTAAAAACTGGTTTAGTAAAATATCTTATATTTCTGATGATTACAACAAGTTTCATTTTCGACCAGTGTACTCCCTTATCGAAACAAAACGTAACCTGAACGTATATAGGTAACTCGAACACGTGTGGCCCAGATACAGCGGGGCTATGATAAATAGGCGTTACGATATAACAAATATGGCTGGGAATTCGTGAAAATTATATCCGGAATTTAACGCATTGAATTTGTTCTAACAAAATGGTAAGAGTACCGGAGTAACAAAATGATAAGGGATAAAATGGAGATTTTGAGAAACAGCTAAAAGAAATCCTGTGTTCCCACTGCGGCCCGACGCTAACAATTGCCAAGGACACTTCACCTGCCATCTGGTGAGTTTTGAGGCAACTTCTATGCTATTCAGTCATTTGAGCAGTTTTTTCGACTGTTATTCATTCCCAAACAAATTGGTGGTGGAATCGGTTAGTAATGCGTAGAAATGACTCTCATTCATTGCGCAAACTTGTCTCACTTGGACTCGAGCTGTTTTTCTCCCTATTATTTTTTCAGCCCATTTTTCGGACAATGTTCTTACGATATGTTTTATATAGCTAGATTCTAATAAAACACACTTCAAAACTTTCTTTTAAAAAAATATTTACATGCATAATTCTGTGATTGATATTTACTCTATTACGGGTTCAATTAAAAGTGTGATAAAAGTGACAGCGATATTTATGACCTGTCTGTCCACATCCGTCTGAGAACTTAATTCACTCGCATAAATGTTCTCATCTGCCTTTCGACACGATTTTTGTCAATTTTAACGTTATTCTTTTAATGACGATGTTGGAAGAATGTAGATCACGCGAGAGTACAATCCCTAAGAATAAGCAATGAAGTGATATTTAGAGGCATTAGGAGCTGGCGCTCCAGACCAAATGGTGTCAGAAGGAAGACATTTCTGAGAGTGATGAGTTTTTAGTGGCGCTTAACTGTTTTAGAAACAAAAAGTGTCATCTTACGGCCTGGACGAATCACACTAGGAATGTGTGTTAATATTGTTCTACGACGATGAAGAAAAGTTTAATGCAAATTTCTCCGAGAAGACGCTTACTATTCCCCATTTCAGGCCAATTGTATAAATGAGTAATTCAGTTGTCTGTTCAGACCTCAATCGTCTCAACATTTTATTTCTGTAATTTCCCAGACATAAACCTCTTTTGTTATTTAGCAAATGGATACATTAAAGCAAACTTATCACTCAGTGATATGTCCGGAGTTTGGAAGATTCTGAGTTAAATATCGTACATATATTCATAATAATTACTTTATTTTACACATATTCATATTCATAAATAGTATTAAAAAGCATGCACATACGTAACATTAGGATCGCAAGTATGTAGTTTCATGCTTACTAAACATTTCTTCACTTTATATTCCATGAAGATTTTCAGATAATTGAATATTACTATTATATATAAATAATATTTATTACCAGTGACTAATTGAATTCAAGTCTATTGTTTTTAGATGCGTGTTAAAGATGCCCTATATCATCACCCATTTTATTATTTTCTGCTCAACATGTTATCTACGTAGTCGGCGGTACATAATTCATGTTTCCTGAAACACATTAAAAAGTAATTTGCACCAAAGTGATAAAAAATAACCTATAATTAAAAATGATTATGAATTGGAATTGAATATATAAATCATTAAATATTCATAAAATATCATTCAATTGCGTTTTCCTCACATCAAATATTTATCTTCAAATTTTATAACCAAATCAGAAGTTTGTCTTTGAAAGAAAATTCTTTACTTCTTTCTTTAATTCGAAAAACAGAATAAATGTCAAGTCGTAAATGTCTTTGTGCGAAAAAAGTGTTTGTGAGTATCCACCCCTCCACCCAAATACACCTCCCCCTCCCCCTTCACCTAATTCACTCGAGCCTCCTCCCTTTCCCCAAAGAATAAGTGCCAGTGTAAGCACATGAAATTAAATTGTCCGCCGAAAAAGTAGTCGGAGGGCTAGAATAAATAAGATAATTCTGGTTTCGTCAGACAAAAGCAATAAATAAGTAATTTTAATGCGTCGTTGCTTCTAAAATTATGGCGGTAAGGTGATGCATGACCAACCGGGTTCACAAGACACCTTGTTTTTACTTGTTTTCTACCAAGATTGCCTGGGTAATTTATGCATGGAATATTTATGAATATATTCGTTCTTAATGCCTTTGTTAAAAAATTTGGTTCTTACAATCTCGGTTCTTTTTAGTATCTTGTGCGTACGGTTGGCCATAAATTCAGTCTTTCAAGGGAAAGTGCAAGTACCCGTTTATTGACACTCAAAAAGAATATTCATTTCGCTTACTCGTCAGGTTTGCTGGTGGGCCGTTTTTAAATCTCTCCAGAGAGTAATGTGTTGATTAATTATGTGACACTGCTATTAATGCGTTCAACATATATCATATAATTAGTTTTCTATTAATAATATGTTTTTGTTATAAAAATAATAGGCATTCATCGTAAACACGCTGGCACATTAAGTCAGCAGTTTGTGGCTCAAGCGAGTTCATTTTATTCAAGCGGATGTCTTAACATTTTGATGTAATAATGTTTTATTAAGCAGCGCACACATAATAATAATTTTAATAACGTGATGAATGGGAATAAAAAACGTTCTACATCTTTCTTGCTTTCTTGCAATAAAACCACGAGTAAGCAAAGAAAAGCTTAACGAATAGTGATTTTTATGTGTTTCTGCAGTTTTTAGTTTATATACTCAGCAACCGACTCTAAATAAACTATAAAATAATCTGAATATTTTATTTAAACGTACTCAGTATTATATTTTAATGTATTCTTAACTTGAGAATAGGTATACAAATTAATGTACATTCACTGGAAGAGATAAACAGTTAATAGTACTTTGACTGTTAAGAAACATCTGTCCTAGCTTTGCGCCAATGCTGGAAAGTTTACTTTCAGATATTCTTATATCCGTCGCTAGTATTCTACGTTGCCCCTCATTTCAAACTTCGGAGCTTCCGAAGCTGAGAGTGTAACACTTTTGTTTCTGGATGGAAATCGTTTGTTGGAATGGTACTATGTTAATATGATGAGCTTAAGGACTAGCGAAGTTGGCTTCTGGATAACTCCTCGCCATGGTCTATGTCTAGCTTGTAGTTGATGACAGCTGTGCATGCCAGCTGTTGTCGAAATCGAGTTATCCAGTCAGTTGAAAGGAATGCCAAAATGAGATGGTTATCAATGAATCCGATGAAACGCAAAGGCGAGAGGTGTCCGCTTGAAGTAAAGTGCGTGTGTGTGGTGTGTTGCAGTCGGACATCGTGCACCAGTCGGTGTACGAGCTGGTGCACAGCGAGGACCGCGAGGAGCTTCAGCGGCAGCTCATGTGGAACTCGTTCCTGGCGCCCGAGGGGGCGGGGCTGGCGCTGCAGGACGTGCTTCGGCCCGACCACGCGCACCTGCTCGAGCGCTCCTTCACCGTGCGCTTCCGCTGCCTGCTCGACAACACCTCCGGCTTCCTGGTGAGCGCCCCCCCCCCAAGGCCCCTGCGGTCCTCACATCGCGGCGCAGACTAACTGGAGACACGGGCGTGGTGGCAATTCAGTCTCTGATTGATTGATGTTTCCCGGCGCGTCAACTACAATGCTCATTAGTCCCGAAAGTGTAGTGCAAGTTTTTCCTCTGAGAGGTTCTGGTGATCGTTACGCCGCTGCATGGTGAGCGCCCCCCCCCCACACACAAAGTCAATCCATGGGGGCGCTGAGTAACTGGAGTCACGGGCGTAGTGACAAAGCATTGATTGGTTGACGTGTCCGGGCGCGTCAGCTCCTGTGATTAGTTCCGTAGTTCAGGTTTTTCCTCCGATAGTTCCGGGTGATCCTTCAGCCGCTGCATAGTGCGTGCACAGCCCCCTCCACACACACACACACACACACACAATGCCCTTGTCGTCATTCCATCGGGGCGCAAATTAACTGGAGCCTCGGGCGTGGTGGCGATTGATTCACTGATTGACGTTTCCGGGTGCGTCAGCCGCTGAGGTCATTAGTCCCGTATGTGTAGTGCAGTTTTTTTCCCTCTGAGAGGTGGCGGAGATCTTTCCGCCGCTGCATGGTGAGATTCATGCCAACTAGTCGTCGGCTAGCGGCGTTTTCCCCTTCCAGGTATCTTTCCCCAGCGGCGCACCGCCCCTACCGGGACACACTCTTAAGTTACCAACTTGTCTCCCAGTATGTGTGGTGGTGTAGTGCGTGAATTGTAAGTGTGTAAGTAAGAATCAGAATAGAACAAGAAGAATGAAGGGAAGGTTGTGTGTAGGGGTACTGCTCAGCCAGAGATTTCGAGAGTAATTGGAGCCACGGACCTGGTGACTGAGCATTGATGAAAATATGTTGATTTATTCAGAATACATGTACTTCACGTGACCTGCGTCTCACTCCATGAATGATTATGTTGGGATACGACATCTTACTTCATAATGAGTGTAATTATAATTTGACATAATTATTATATATTATTATACGTAATATAATTATAATTTAAAATTATTAAAAAATAATTATGGAAATTAAATTTTAAATCAAAAAATTCTAAACTAGAAACGATATTAAATAATTATTAAATATTATATATAGCATGAATTCATGCGAGTTGGGAACGACAAAAAATTGAACATGGAAAAGAATACTTCACCCAATGACCTCTGTTTCTTATCACTTATTTTCTTGAGGAATAAGATACTTAACTTAAAAAATTAGTTCACAAACAAATCGTTCGGTACCGTAACGTTAAAACCTTTTAATTTCTTATTTGCTCTACTCGAAACAAATATTGTCATTGTCCGCTTTATTTTGAGAAAAAAACAAGAAATCAGCGTACAGTTATTGTAAAAATAGGGGTAATACATGTCGTATTATATGTTACTCACTACGTATTATATGTATCACAAAAAATAGAGTTGAAGACTTCGAAATTGCGAATACTGAACTTCTATTGTTAAATCGCATTTGTTCGCAACTAGTCGTATTTCCAAATTACATTGGCCAATAATTCGATTTGGGCATTACATAACATAAACGATTAAACAATTGTGATTTTTTACAAAATAATTGAGCAATTAATGTTAAAAACAATCTCCTCGGCTACTGATAGTTTTCAAACCGAACAAATGCGTGTTCGGGAAGTAGTTCCTGCTGGTTGCTCGTGCTTCAAATCGCAGTTCGTGCCCGTGGCTATCGTCAATCTCACCCGGACACGATGGGGCTGACGTCCCGGAGCCTCCCTCTGCGCCTCCCCGCCCGCCTCCTCCGGCCTCGACGCCTTTCTCGCTCCCCCTCGCCCCTCCCGCCGCTCTCCCGCCGCCCCTCTCCTTCGCCCTTCTCGCCTCATGCCCCTTCCGTCGCCCCTCCGCTTCTCGCCTCCCGCCCGCTTCCCCTTAGCTGACCTCTTCGCGCCCTCCGCTCTCCTCTCGCCCGTCGCCTCTGCCCCCTTCGCCCTTCTCGCCTCGCCTCCCCATCAAATCTCGCTCGCGCCTCTCGCCGTCGCCTCTCCGGCCTTTTCCTCGTCCTCGCGCCCCGCCTCTCGCCCGCCTTCGCCTCGCCCTCGCGTCTCCGGCCGTTCGCCGCCGTGCCTCCGTCTCGCCCTCTTCGCCTCGCCTCTCTCGCCCGCCTCTCGCTCTCTCGCCTCGCCCTCTTTCCGCCTCCGCCTCCGCCTCTCGCGTCGCCTCTATCTCGCCCACGTCGTCGTTCGCCTGCGCTTTCGCCCCCTTTGTCTCCCCTTCTCGCCGCCCGTTCTCGCCTCCCGCGCCCTCCCCCGCCTCCTTCGCCTTCTCCGCCCTCGCCCCTTTCGCCTGCCTCTCGACGCACCTACCGCCTCGCCGCCTCTCGCCTCCTCGCTGCGCCCTCTCGCCGCGCCTCGCCTTCCGCCTCCGCCTCTCGCCTCCGCCTCTCCGCTCTTCTGCCTACACCTCGCCTCGCCGCTCGCCGCCCCCGCCCCTCTCGCCTCGCCCTCTCCCTCGCCCTGCGCCTCGCGCCTCTCGCTCTCTCGCCTTCGCCTCTCGCCTCGCTTCTTCGCCTCGCTTCTTCGGCCCTCCAGCCCTCTGACCTCGCCTCTCCTAGATCCTCTACGCCTCGCCTCTCCCCTCTTCGCCTCTCGCCTCGCCCCTCTCCCATCGGAATCTCGCCTCTCGCCTCCGCCTCGCCTCTCCCGCTCGTCTCTCGCCTCGCCTTGCGGCCCTCCCTTTCGCCCTCGCTCTCGCACGCGTCCTCGTCTCGCGGCGCCTCTCGCCTCGCCCTCGCCTCGCCTCTCGCCTCTGCCTTTCGCCCTCGCACTCTCGTCGTCCCTCTCGCTCTCCTCTCGCGTTGTTCTCTCGCCTCGCCTCGCCTTCGCCTCCGCCTCTCGGCCTCGCCTCTCTCGCCTCGCCTCGCCTCCTTCGCCCTCTCGCCTCCCGCCCCTCGCCTCGCCTCTCGCGCCTCCCTCTCTGCCTCGGCCTCTCGCCTCGGCTCTGCCTCACCTCTCGCCCTCGCCTCTTCCCCCCTCGCCTCTCGCCTCGCCTCTCGCGCCTCCGCTCTCGCCTCGCCCCCTCTCGCCTCCCTCTCCCGCTCCTCTCGCCTCGCCTCTCGCCCCCGCCTCTCGCCTCCGCCTCTCGCTTCGCCTCTCGCTTCCCTCTCGCTTCGCCTCTCGCTTCGCCTCTCGCCTCGCCTCTCGCCTCGCCTTCTTCGCCTCGCCTCTCGCTCCGCCTCTCGCCTCCGGCCTCTCGCCCGCCTCCGCCTTCCGCCCCGCCCTCGCCTCGGCCACCCTTTTTCCTCTCCGCCCCCCCACCCGCCTCTGACACTTATACTTCGTACCTCGTGAGCAAACCACTGCCCCCGAGCAGCTTCACTATTCACACGAGATAAACTATAATCTACCATTCGCTTTTTGTTTTCCACCCTTACATTTACTTTCACACACCTCGCTACTTTGTATGTTCTAGCATTTGCAGAAGAGTCACACGGATAATTTAAAGATTGACACCACCCCGGCACACCCATCTTATGATGTTAATTTGTCATTGAGAGAAAACTCCCACAAAAACTGGCGGACGTTTTTGAAAAAATATATACATGATTTAATTTCTAAAAAGGAAATTCGTACCCTTCCAACATGATGAAACGGCGAAAACAGAACAATAAACACCGTTTATAAGTTAATTAGGTTATAAAGATTGTTATTATTCTATTTGTTAACAACCTACTTATTAAAATAAATTTGTTGTGTTGTATATGGGTTGGCAGTATAACGTTTACCGCAAGTTCTTCATTTATTGCCTAGTCATTTTCGACCAGCAAAATGAGAATGGAAATTAACTCCATATTCTTAAGCTGACACTATTCCAGACCGCGGAATTGAGAGGTGTTGAATTCTGGGAGAAACAATCATAGAGGGAAGATATAAGTGTTTAGTAAAGAATATGGTAGATAACACAGATAAATCACTATCTTTATATTCTAATAGTCAGGAAAGATATGAAGAAAAATGTGATGAGGGATCTGTTTCTAGACGCGAGAATGGGGGTGATCACTTCAATTTTTGTTAAGATGGCTGTTGCTCCTTGTACGTGAGTTAACTATTTGTAGAAATGATGTGCCGTTTTCGTAATAAAGAAAGTCATTGTGGTCCATGCAAGGTCTATTGCTTAACAAATCTGGAAGTATTTACTGTTTATTCTTGAGATTTTACTTTGGAAAATTGGAAATTTATTTAAAGATAAACTCGTCGTGGGGTCATTTCAATCGTTCGGCTTTTCATGACCGATGCCCGTTCTTTTTCCTTCCATTAAAACCACGGCCGTTAGAAATTTCTCCGATCCTTGGTTCACATCTAATCGTGCACGCATTATCCAGTATCGTGATCGTGGCCCTCCTTCCCCGTTTCTTACACGACCACTGTCACCGCATCCCGGTTCCTCGTGGAAGGCCTCCGCCGCGGCCCCGCCCCGCCGTAAAATCCCGCCCCCGTTTATCCGGCGGCCTCCCCCTCATTACTCTCGCGTTCTCTCATTAGGGCCCCCGCCCCGCCGCCGCCGCCGCGCCCGCCTAAATTTTTAATGATAATAGTTGTAACTTAGCTCTCCGCGTCGCGTCGCGGGCAGGGCACGCGGGGCTGGCGGGGGGGCCACGAGTGGCGGAAGTGGAGGGCCGTCGGGCGGGCGAAGGCGGTGCGGCGTGGCGGGGGCGGGGTGGGCGGGCGTGGCGATAGGGTGGGTGGGTTGCCGGCGTGACGACGCGCCCGGGCGCCAACATGAATATGCATGCGCGTGTTATTATACAGAGCCAATTCACCATCGGCCAGCTGCCTTGGCCGCCGGCCGCCGGGGGCGGCCCGAATCGCAGTGATTCGCTGGTGTTTGTGCGCGAGGGGGAACGAGGGATTTTAAACAGTAAATATTTTTCCGCATGGTGATTGATTGATGAGTGATTCGGGCGCGCAACTGCTAACTTCATTAGTCCTATAAGTAGCAGCTGCTGTTATATAACGGGGG